ACACACACACACATACACATACACAGGACAACACACTTAAACACTAAAACACAGAACAATGGGTTACACCTCATGTGACTGCTCCACAATATGCAGACATTAAGTTGCAATGTTTTCTTTAACTTTACAATAAAGAGCAACTTATCAATTCATATTCATGCAACATTTTCTATATCAACTTATCGAGTCGTGCTCACAGCATCCTCATGAAAGCACAATTGTGGAGCGTGCACATGAAATGTTACACACAAGCGCAAATATTATGCTTCACAATTGACCAAAAACAAAAATCAAACACTAAAAGTGTCATAAATCATGCAGAGCTACAGAGGAGGTCTGTATGTGTGTCTGATTAATAAAGATTTGTAAATTACAAAGAGATTCATGAGATATTTATCTCAGTGTGCTTTTTTGAATGTGTGCAAAAATCCTCCCACTGATATAATGTCATGAAAACACCTGGGATCGTGTTTGCTTTCAAATTTGTGCTTTTACTTTTACATTTTTGAAATGAATGATTTGCTGTCTGGGATAAAAAAGAGGTTAGGCACATTCATTGATTGAACAGCTTTAACTAAAGATGCCTGACAAAGATCCATGCTGATGAAATATCCACTGAGTGATAAAATGTATGTCCTCGGGCAAAGAGGACATACAGTATAAACTGGAGCATCACAAAGACGTCAAACAAACTCACTAGGAGGACAAGATGGCTGCAAGCAAGAAAACCATCTTAGTGGGAAAAAAAACAATAAAAAAAACAAAAATAAAATATAAACTTGTGCAAATAATCACAGAAAAGGATAAAAATACAGAAAATATACTGACTGGGTAAATGATGATTACACAACAACATATAGAGATGTTGATTTTTTGATAAGGGTGCTTACCTTGAGATTGTCTCTTAGACCCTAGTTGTGTTGTACTCTGATTCATGTTTGCTCAAAGAGCCAATGAGGCAGAACCTGAAATGTCACGGCTCTTTCATTTAATATCAAATTTTGCATAGAGAGGTCAGAACTCATATTGTGCTACACGACAACAATAAACTTCATCAGGGCTCTGTTAAGTCTCATGGGAGCCTCGCATGCAGATAAACAGTCAAGAACACTCACATAGAAAAGTGCATGCAGGAGAAAGTATGTTCTCCTTCACATTGAGTTTTTGTATACAGTTACTTTTTAAGCAGTCAAGTTGCAATTACACAGTAAATTCGTTTTTTTAAATTGAAAATCTCTCATGCCAAAATGTGAAGCTATATATTTTCAGTATCATCATTAAAATACAAATGCATTTTGTGTAATAATTTGCTTTCATGTCAATAAAAAAGGAAATTCTATGAATATCAGGCACCAATTCAAGCCCTTTTGTTTAACAGTCAGAGTTGGACTGATTATATAAGTAATATTTCTTAAGTTGAGGTCTGTATTTTAAAAGCTTTCGGACAAACCTCAAAGTACAGTCGGGTTTAGGATATAACTTATGTATCACCATTTGAGGAAAGCTAACAGGGAGTGCTTGACATGTTCAAGGATGAGCATGCAAAAGGTAGCGTAATTTAGCCCTTTGTTAGAAAAAAAAAAGAAAATAGAGAGGGGACAAATAACAGGGATCAATGCAAACAAAGAAGCTTGTCTTAATTCTAAAAAAGTAATGAGAGGAAGAGGGAGAAAGCTAAAATAATGAAAACAAAATTTTTTTTTCATTCATTTCAAACACCCCCATAGTTAACTCTACAGTTGTTGTTCTTCCCTCATCAGAAATCTATGGATACTGACCGCTGTACTGCCTTTTCGTGGCGTGAAAGCCGGTGGCTGGTGGTGGGAACTTCTTCCAGGTCGTCGTCCAGGTCACATCCATTGTCTGCCTCTTGTGAGTAGCTGTGCTTCATGACCAAGATGCTCCTGCGGTTTGCCGTGGCCGGCAGCAATGGCCGCACTGCCATGGGCGGCTGTGGAAGGTCGGTGAGCAGGGTGGCCGCAGCTCCGTCACGACCGCTCAAGTTTCCGCGGCTTCCTCGTCCACTCAGTGACAGCTGGGATAAGTGGGCGGAGCCGGGGTTGGAGGTGGACCCACAGTGGTGATCGTGGACGCAGCGGGAGGAGGCACGGCGAAGGGCGTGGTAGTTCTCAAAGTCTTCCGCCAGGTCTACTAAGTCTGCTGATGCTGCTGCGGCTGTGGTGGCACTCCGTAATGTACACAGCTCATAGTGAGGTGGCTCAAACACCTCCTGGAACATGGTGGGGTCAAAGTCCTCACGCCGCAGGATGTACTTTTTACGTGGCTGCTTGATCTGGACTATGACGGAGACGATGAGGAGGATGAGGACGATGCAACAGGTGACACCGATGATGGTCCCGTTTGTGTTGTTCAGGTTGTCGAGGATGTTGGCTTTTCTTTTCTCTGTAGAGTTTGAGAGAGAGAGCAGGGCAGAGACAGAACATATGAGAATATAACCTACATGGCCCTATAGCTTAAAAACTTGAAAATCACTTGGACAAAACTAATTACATTTCAATTTGTAATTAACAGATTCCCAACTGCATTCCCAGTTATTAACCATTAGTTTTTCATTGGTTACCAACTGAAACTAGGCACGGTAGGCCTGTCATTTTTCTGCAATTTTAAGAAGTGTGTATGGGGCTCTAGTAAGAGAAATACTCTGTATACAAAGAATTTAGATGATGGGATCTTTTTTCCTTTTCAAAACCAAAAATGAAAGAGTTCAATGAGATGATTAAACTGTGTGTCTCTCAGTTCTAATGTAAGGAATGGCTGTGTTAGGGGTTATAGATTGTGTTGCTGTTCACCAAACCCATGGGCTAGTGATCATCCTGAAAAGCTTTTCCTGGTTAAGTTAAAAGTAAAACCTACAGTTTGAAAAGGCCACCATTTCAGCAAGTAACCTCTGTTTGGCTTAATCAAGTAATGGATTATTCTTTCAAGACAAGTCTGCTGAAACAGCTAGAGACCTTTTCTAACAATTCAGAGATCTAACTTTAGCTTATTTAGCTCATGCATAAGAGTCGAAGCTTCACAGGTAGAGCACCAGCAACTAATAAACATCATGAAGACGTCCTTTAGCAACAGCTCATAGAAACAGAAACCATAGCTCACATGTAAAGATATCTCCTGACAATCCAAACCTGTCATGTCCAAGGTTGAGGCTGTGACTTTTATGATGCATCAAACAGAACAGAAAGGTTGTATAAATCACAGCTGTGCTCTCTTTATCACACAGGAAACTACACAGAGGAGCACAAACTAACAGAGACAGTGTAAGGACTTGTAAGGACACGTGGGGGTAATCTGTGGGGAGACGTGTGACATTTAAATACTGGATGAACTTGTAGCACGGCGCACTGAGCTTCAGTGACAGTAAATGGATACATTCAGAGGCGTAAAGCAGGAAGGAATAAAACCTGACATTTTACCACTAATGAGGACAAAGTGCGCACTGTGGTGGACCTACGCATTACTTGAGCAGAGTAAACCGCTGAGCAATATGGCCGCCTCCTTGCTGAGTTCTACACAATTTAAAACTCAGAAAGGTATCTTAGTCTCTATGAGGAATTGGCTGTGCAGGATTTACTTAATTGATGCTATTTGTCATTGGCTCGGCTTAAGGAGAGAGAGTGGCAGTATATACAGAATACACAGACATCTTCTCTGTACAACTTTTGTCTTTGATTCAAAGACATGAGGGGAACGATGAGGCTGCAGAAAAATAAATTGAGATGTTATAAAAGCCGAGACAGAGTTTATGTTTGGACAAGAACACATCTCTGCCATACATAAATGATAATCAGAAATACTACCTTTAATGAGGTGGGAGTTTGAAATGCTTGAAGGCTCAGGGGATCTGCAGTATAGATCACATCTTATATGTATTGGAATACAGTGATGGGTTGTAAAGGTCAAGGACCAGACCATGTATTAATTGGAAATATATAGTAGTGCAGTGAAAAACTAGCCCATCCTCAGTCTTCAGATATTGGAACAGAATCATAGACTTGGATGCTGCAAAAAGGTAAATCTCAAATCAGAGGTGCAGATTAGCGAGCTGCCAGCATTATCTCACACACATAAAGATTTTACTTGGGGCGTGCAACCCAGTTACATTAACATCATTTTAGCAATTAAAATGTTTGTCTCTGTCCAAGAGAATTATGCCATTCAATATAATTTTAAATAGTGGACAATCTCGCTTCACTTTAACCCTTCTGTACCAGTTTATTCTGCATATGCAAGAGCAGCCTGCTGACGATTGCACATTGTGCCAGTACTGTATAAAGGTGTAGATCCAGTAGCTTTAAAATTCTGTGTGGAGAAAAAGAATCTTATAGTGTCACACACTGAGGAAGTTCACAGAACCTCACTCAGCTTGAGCTCCCTTCAAGGAACAAAAACAAAGACACGAGAGCAGTTCTTATACATCAACCTAGTCCCAGATGAATTGAGTCAATGAAGAATCTCACCAAGCCAGTTTAAGTTGTATAACTTGTACATCATGGTAATATATAAACTAGGATTACTGCTCTGTGGTTTATTTGGTTCTCCTATCAATGATGACGTGTAAGCTGACTTTTTAGAGTGGTCCATGTTTCATCCACTAACATGGAGGAGGTGGGGTTCCTGGCCTGTACTGCAGCCAGCTACAGATGGCGATCGAGAGGCTGTGGCTTCAGTATTGGGGAGTAGTCGCGTCGTCCATCTTTATTTTCAGCCTAAGGTTCAAACTCTAACGCTCTGACGCTGTCCATGGTGCTGAAACATTCAACACTACTAAATGTCTCATCTCTGATACTTCTCACATGTAGTACACTATGAGTATGTAAATTCTCTGGTTTATAGATTGTGAATTTTAACAGGACAGTATCGACTGGCTGCTTTGCTTCACTCTTAATTTAAACACAAATATTATTTATGTGTCCTCCTTTCTCAGCTGCCATTTTCAAAGGTTTAAAATTTGTTTGGTAACTGTTGAGGCTGATAAGTGTCATGCGAAACATTTCAAACGTGACTTTTTGTTATGACTGTTGCACCATCTGGGTAGTGATAATGTTCTGCATATTGTCCTAATTGTCATTGTGCACACTTTTATGATCTCGAGATAGCAAGTGTAAGTATGGATGATTGATACACAGCAGAAGTATCTTCCTTTTCTCCAACCCTTACAACCACTGGTTCATGTGGGACAAAAGGGTCAAAGGAGCTGAAATGTAACATCTCACCTTTACACTGGTTCTCATCCCAGGGGTAGACACAGTTCTGCATGCCGTTACACACCAGTGTGTTGTTTATGCACATGTTGCTGTGACAGAAGAAGGCATCTGCATCACAAGGAGCTGGAAAAGAGGAAAGCAAATTAACATGAGAGCTTATTATGTATTGGTTATTAATAGAATAGACAGAAATCTGTCATACCACCTTTGCTCGTTCACTTACATTATAATCAAAATCCATAGAAACATTTCGGTAAAGGGTTTAACTACTTTTTAGTGAATATCTCCTCATTATAAACAATAAATGAGAAGGACACTAGATGAATTTGAAGTACAGCTGTGGAGAAGTTCCAGTCTGCCAGATTTTGAAGAAATAAATTTGAATGGAAATTACTCAAATCAGCCCTGTTCCCCATGAACCCATCTGTTCTTCATGAATTTTCATCCTCAAGCTCCTCTACAAACATTTGCAGAGGCAACTTGAGGGTGTGAATGAATTCCTTGGAAAATGTGTGTGTGATTGTGGCGTCTGCAGAGATTGCCATGACATTTCAGTATCATCTGCACACATAACAAACCCACAACAAATCCTTCCTATTTATGCGAGATGATGTTTATTTGTCCTCTGTGCGCAGCCCTTGTCGGCACATAACCAGGTAATAAACACGAGCATGTCCTCATACACACCATCCATCACGACACCTGCTTTTGCCATGAGACATAAAGCTGCCATTGTCTCCGCCTCTGTGAGTCACACATCAGCAGAACATGGTCGTAAAAATCAGAGTGATAATGTTTCAGGCTCCATCATCTTATAGCAACATAATAATTTAAACCCAAGGTGCCCTTTCCTCTCAGCAACCAATCAGATTAATGAATAAACCACCTGATTGGTCAATTCATTGCTTCCCCCTGTCAATCCCAATAGAGCGTGGTGAGCAAACCGTAGGCACAGCGTCATTTCTCCGGTAGAGACAGGTAGGATTATTACTTTCACAAAGGAGGTCGTGCTTTTGTCTAGATTTTTTATTTATTTAGCAGGATTATACAATAAATTCCACGATAATCAGTGGAAGGATGTGGTTTGGGGCCAGAGAAGAATCCGTTACATTTTAGTGCAGATCCGTATCAGGTGGCAGATCCAGGTATAATTTTGATCACTTTCTTTCATGCTGTGATTTTTAAGGGACTGGTATTATGCGTGTGAAATTTGGTGCAGATCCAAATAAAAATATAGACTGAAATGGGGTTTAGGTCGCCATCCTAGTTATGAGATTTATACAACTAATATTTAGTTGTACAGCAGCAGGACATTGATAACAATGGCAACAACATGATCTTATTGGATTCGTTGATTTGCCGAAATAATATGTTTAGTTGTTAGTTTAGTTTATCTTTAATGTTTTGAAATTGAGGCAAACCTTAAAATAGAAATTGTGTTTAGTGCTGTATTTGAGTAAATGTACTTAGCCAGGTTCCCCCACTGCAGAATAGTAAAGAATAAACCATGTACCATTGGCCTTGGGGGAAAGTACTTGTATGTGCAGGGGGAGAAGTAGTGAATATACCACCTCCAATTTGCACATATTCCAAGAGTTACCATTTTTGCCCCTGACATGAATGTAATGGATGGCTCTATCCTGCTGATAGTTGTTTGGAATTAGAGGAGATGTCCTCTCCCTTTTCACTCTCTCTCTCTCTTTCTCTCACTCTCTCTCTCTTTATCTTCTGCTCTCTCCTGCACAGCACTGGCACTGTGCACTAAAGCAGCTTGCCAGTGGTATGGCAGAGCTGGGGACTATCTGACAGTGTTACCACCGTGATGTATGGCTGTTTTCAGCCCAGCACTCATCCCAAGTGAATAATAACACACCAAATTAGAGTGACTTATCTCTATCTCCCTCTGTGTCCCATCCTGGGACTTTGCCAGAATTTCTTGGGCCATATTGGCTCTTGCTGTGCGTTCTGATACTCCTCTTCTCATTTTCTCCCCACTACCTCTGTTTTTTCACTGGATATGCCAAAAACTGCAACTTTTATTTGCTAACAACCACCAGAGGGAGCTCAGTTCTTCTCATTCTGCAGCTTTACATCCCCCTCTCTCCTCCGAACACCACAGGGTGAGACCCGATGTAACAAAGAGCGTGATCCACACTAATCTCCTGCAAAATTAATTTCAAGACTTTGTAATAAAAGTGCCCTTTTGCCCGCACAGAAACATTCACAGCCACTGCTGGCAGCATAAATTAACTCCTTAATGAGTGGCTGATGAAAATAGTCTGAGTGTCTCTGCAGAGGGGAGAGGAGGGGGGCTTCTGCAGTGAAGCGCTGGAAGCCTCACATGGTTGCAATGAATTTTTTCAACTCAAATTGTCATTATAGATTTGTTTCGTTTGGTTTTTTTTTTTTAGGTGTTTAGTAAGACTATTTCTACTCTGATTGTATCAATCTAGTTTTCATTTTGCAAGATATTTTTACCAGCACTGTAATCTCTCATTTCATCGACATGATATTCTTATTTTCTTGCCATCATTGTCCAAAATAATTAACAATGAATATAATTTATCATAAATACTGTGTTTTCCCTACTTTGCCTGCAAATGCTCCTTATTGGTGCTAAAAAAGATGAACCATATCTCCCTGGAACTGATGTCCCTTCATGTGTCACCAGTGAAATATACTGTAGATTAGATTTAAAGATTATTTGATTTGATTTTACAGCATAGCATGGACCAGCACCCGCTTATTTCTCAAATCTCGTCATTCCATGTCCACACGCCCCAGAAGTGAATGAGCCTTTGCTGGTGCCTTTTATTTCCACCTTTAAATTAAACACCTTTTTACAACTGCCTCACAAAGGCAATTAATCATTAATATTAACATTAAGATTGTCTGCTAGTGTTACTTACTTACATATCCATCCATCCAGCCATCCATTATCTATAGCCTACCGCTTATCCAAGGTGGGATAGACCTTGGAAACATCTGATTCACCTTTTAAAAAAAATCTTTTTTCTTAAAGTATTTTGGCAACCCCCCATTTTTTTGAAATGTGCTCCATAAGTGAATTGACTGATATGACATATGCAAAATTCTGTTTGTACTCTGTTGAAGTGAAACCATTGCTATGCATGAGACCGTATGCAGTATAAAACACACCAAATTAAAACAGAGGGCCTTGTCAGAAAATTGATTGCGTTACATCTTCTGTTCACTAATAACTAGTGCAGAGTTTTCTTCTCCATCCCAACGCAACCGAGATAACAAGTGTGCAGAGATGATGTAATCTGATCTAAGACAGAGCAAAGATGCATACGTGAGCAGATATCAGCACACTGTGTTGTTCGCCAATGCTTTCATGCATACAATTAAGAAGCTTTACAAGAGACGAGAAGTGATGTGTGTATCGAAGCCAGGGCAAAATTTCCATCTGCAGCTCCGGAGACAGGTATCCGTCGATGATGCGTAACGATTCTGACAGCAGAGACGTCACACAAGCAAACACATCACCCGAGACATAATTGCTTCTCGGGTAAAGAAAGGTTTCGCTTTCTTATACCTCACATACATACATGTGTTTGTGAAAGTGACCTCAGAAATAAAGTGAGATCAGCAGGTGTGAACAGCGTGAATGATAAAAGTGGATGTTTGCATTCGGGAATGTTGCTCTTGCACTGTAGCGACTCTCTGGGAGTCAGCAGCTATGAATGGTTCTCTAAAAGCTGCTGGTCCCACTGGGAACCAGCAGCTGTGAAAAAATATAGAAAGGCTCAGGATCTACTGTGGCAGGGGAACACTTATTGTAAGAAGTGCCCTGTAAGCTGCAAATCCAGTTAGTGCACCTCTAACACAAAAACGCACACACACACACACACTCTCTCACACTGGGAGCGGTTCTACAATTTGCTTTTACTTGAGTGAGTGGAATTGTAGTAATTTCTTATGACGCTTTTGTGGTATTTCTCTTGCTTTTGTAGTACACATCATAGTTTTGGCCACACCTGCATCACATACCATGATATATATTGATAAGACAATCTTAACTCATGGTCTTCTTACTAGCCTTAAATAGCTTTCAAAAACATCTCTGGAACAGCAAACATTCAAACACACTATAATGATGACTAGTTCTCTGAGTGAATATCTGCTGATAAAATTGTTTCTCTCAAATTAATTTCGAAAAGATTATTTGAATGGCTTTGGTGCAATGAGTGGCTTTAAATCTTCCTATTACTGTTTGCAATAAAGTTTTACACACTCATAAATATCAGTCCAAAAATCACACCTGATTTTTCTCATCAAGACCCATGAATTTTGTAAAATGCCCCGTCTAACAATGTTAAGTAAAATCCTCAATCCACCACCTGATCCAGATCTGCACACTAATCTAATGAGCTTCCCTGGGTCATGCTTTAGGTTTTAAAGCCTGAAACTTATCACAGAGAAATTGAGGATCCATCTGTAAAATAATACATAAACATGTATAGATGGACGTACATGTCTCTGAAGATGTATAGTGATATTTACAAGGATCAGCCACAACACTCTGTTTTTTTTTCTTTCAAGTAACTTGTTTTAATGTTGTATCTGATCAGTCTATATGTAATCACATCTTGTCCTTTAATATAGCAAAAATACGAAATGTAATCGCGCGTAGTACACATATATATTTAGTTTCACTCGGATTTTCTCCAAACTAATCCAGCTGCATCCCTCCACATGTACCAATGCAAAGTACCGTGTTCTACTTTTTGCAGGATTCTTTAAGAAAAAAACGAACAAACAAAAAAAACTATCTGCCATGACAACGAGGTAAGCGCGCACACTAGACGGAGTTACTTGTGTCACGGTGTGTGCTTTCCGGAGCTCTCACACACCTGCTTCATTGACAGCTTTGACAGGTTTGGTGCAGTGCTGCTGAGCTGTGGTGGATGTTGCTCTAAAGGCTGAGGTCTGGCTGGGGGATCGCCTGAGTGACTTAGGCAGAGGCGTTGCCCCGGCAACAACACATCCTGGCTCCGCTTGGTGAAAAAAAAAGCCTTTCAAAGGGGACACTGACTCCGCAACCCAAACCACTCAGCTGCTGCTGCCACCCCTTCCATAGATAGTCACAAAACTATCATATCTTCACCCACAGACATGTTGTAGATATATACGACTGTGTGAGGAGCATCAACCAATCGTCCTTCAGGGTTTCGTGATTCCTTATTGGTGTGGCTGCACTTTGTGATGTTCAATAAATCCAATCGGCTGCGGCCTATGAAGGAAAAACAAACTGAACTCACTTCTAAATAACCATTCTAGGATTGTGACTTTATCGAAGATGCATTATTTCAGCTTCTCAACAACCATAATCCCAATGACGCGCTGTGGCATAAAGCATACGTAAAGCTTTCTGAGAGGAGGCATCAAGCATTGGGTCAGAATTTAACAGGGAATTCAGGGAATTCTTCTTTATTTTCAAGCTCCAAAAATGCACATGCAATGTTCAGTAGTGCAGTGTGTGTGTGTGTGTTTGTGGGTGTGTTCACTATGTTTTTGTATCTGGGGCATTTAGAAACTCTGAGTGACGCTGACATGATTTACAGGCCATACTCATAAGCCTCAGACCATCGCCATTCACCTCACTAGTACAAAGAATACCCTCTGCAACCCCTGTCAAAACTACACGCTCTATCACTGAGGAGCCAGTGAATGAGAGGACAGCTGTGTGTGTGTGTGTGTGTGTGTGTGTGTGTGTGTGTGTGAATTTTAATCTCTCCCAGGTGTTTGGCTCAAAGAAAAACAGGTAGATGTGAACATATTGTAGCTCATCCTAATATTCCTTTGTCTCAGTTTCTGTTTTTTCTCTCTTGATTTCTCTTTATCCCAATCTCTTCACCTTTTTTTAAAAACAAGGGAATAAACAGTGCACCTGTGGTTCTTCTGCAGTGGAGGTCCAATCCACCGTTAACGTCATGTTCACGATCACCCAGAGGCGATATTCATTATAATGGAAATCATGTCCCTTTGCTTTCCTGCTTGGTGTTTAAATGGTCATAAAACTGAATGGAAACCTCTGACAGCACAGTTTCAATGAACAGCATCTGATATAACTCAACATAATGTGGTCTCTGAGCCTCCATCCAGACCAGCCCTCTTTTAATCTGGCATCAACTTCCCTGTCATGGTGTCGTGAAGTGATTAACAAAGAGACTCAGATCATCCCAGTAGGTTGCAGTACGCGTCTTTATAATAAAGTGCTGGTATTTGCGAGTGCTGCCTTACGTTCTTGGTAGGTTGTGAAAAGGATGCGGAAGCGACTCTTGCGGCTGGCCTCGTCCGCCCACATGCGGATGACGCCCAACGTGGAAACCAGCATGATGTCGTTGGCCACCGTGGAGCAGTACTTGCTTTTGAGGTCTTCCACCGAACTGTGGTGAGACGGGGCGAGAAAGAACGGCAGTGTTTAGTATCAAATAGCGTCCACACGTGCTGTGCTTTTCAAAAGATGCACATTATTTAACAGGAAGTCAAAGCAGCCGTGGTGGTTATAAATATTTAAGTCCTGTTATCCAGTGATCACAAGTGAGTGTTGTGGAGCTCATATTTTGTTTTAAGCACACTGCAATTCACTGTTTCATTATATCCTTATCTCAACACACCAAATATTTTATCATTGATCATGATTTTAATATATGAGTCTCAAGTAGTTGCCTGTAAAGTTGTGTTCAAATTTAAATGGCATGGTAGTCTACATGCAAAAAAAGACATGAATCATAAAATATTTGTATTGAAAAGCTAAATCTGATTTGATCAACAAATTTCTTATTTGTTTCTGCTCCAGTTGATGGTATTGATCAAAAAAGGACACTAAAATACTGTCTTTAGCTTCTGTTCAGATTAAAAGCACATAATTTAAATTGTTATCTCAGGATAAAGAGTCGATTAAATGATGATGTGTGATAAGGGGCCCAAGACAGGGAGAAATGAGTCTCTGTATGATTCATTAAAACTTCAGAAAGTCCCACCTGCCGCCATCGTACACTGCCACAAAGTTGCGCTTGCATTCGTTGGAATTTGCCATCTCATAGTCGAGGAAACGCAGGTAGATCTGTCCAGGAGGCAGAGAGGAAAGCAAACACAAGGAGGAGAAGAAGAGATTAATTGAGGGAAATTAAAGGATGTGACAACACAGTGGAAAGACATGAACAAAACGAAAGAGAGAGAAGAGAGGGATTTCAGCTCTTTCCCATTATGGCCTGTGCATCTCACTCATTAGGCCGGCGCCTGATATAGCAGCTCTTTAATGAAATAAGACTGACAGAGTGCAGCTTGTACAAAGTCATTACATTCGCATATCAAATGAGGACTCGTCTACAGACAGAGTCTATTAGCTTTGAACTCATTATCCATATTTGTTGAGATTAAACATTACACAAAAAAACTACACCCTCGTTAAACTTTACGTAGACTTGTGACATTTTTACCACATACGAGAGTAAATGGCGACGGACCCAAACAGCCCCCTTGCTTTTCACTTTGACCCTCACAACAGTGTCCCAGTTGTCTCTGCATCCTTGCTTGTCACTCATTCTTCAGGCTGAGATCACCCAATCACAGCAACGGTTCTGGTCGACTGGGCACAGCGCTCGCCATCATTACGGTTAATGAGCGGACCACTCCTGAAGTGTGACTGGGAAATGTGGTGCTTTAAATGCCCAAAGATAAGAGCCGCAGATGGAGCACGATAATGGACGGCACACAAGTTGATGTTGTTTATTATTCTCATGCTAATAAAACTATATTTTATGTGCTATGAAATGTTTTCTTGTTTAATTGTTTTTTTCATACACATATTTGTGTATTTTGAGAAGGAACTAGTACATTTACCACATTCAAAATGGAAATAATTGGATCAAGTTCAAAATGTTAAATTTTAATTAAAGGTTTTGACACTTTATATTTGCTAGGGGAAATTAAATGTGTTTTAGAAAACACCTCAATAGCTGAGATATTTACTCTACACACAAACACACACTCACACACACACACACACACTAAACAGAAACAATTATTGACAAAGCTGTACATGCCATGATTGGGTTTAATTTGAGCATTAGAGTAGAGTTATTTATCTGTATTATTGTGAATAATACAGCTTGTAATGGTCAAGATAGTCTGAACATTGGGCCAAATTCTTCATTACATCACCAAACTCGTATCTGTTGTCATGATTATGTAATTTATCATATTCGTAAACCTGTCTCGCTGTGGATTATTTTAAGGGTCAGAATATCTGATGGCGAGATGCTTTGCCAAGTTAGATGTCTTCCCTCACTTGGTTTTCTCAAGTTTCAAACATCTCTTCCATGCTTTGTCGTGTATTAGGATTTAGGGAAAAGTAGCTGTTGTGAGTGAATGATGTTTAAAAATGGCTGCCCTCCATGTGGCACATGACCAAAGAAGTTAATGTGAAATTATAAAGGTCATAAATCAAGGTTAAGGTTGTGGTTCGGTGCTCTCCACCAAATTTGTCTCCATTTGTTTTAAAGTTCAAGAAGCAAATAATTGGAAAAAAGTACAAATGATTATGTTAATTAGGACACTTGGCCCCGTCATTCCATTGAAGCCAAATTAGACATGGAGTTTTGTACCAAGAAAGCATTAAATGCAGTAGTCTGTAACCCATAAAAGTGAATTTACTCAAGGGAGACTAATTACAAATAGAAAAACATTGTTGATAAAACACTCCGTTTTTAATAGACTTCATTTGGTGCTAATGGCTGATAAAAGTAATGAAATGACCTTCATTACTAAGCACAATCGCCCATCATGACCATCATAACTGAATGTAGAGGGAATCATGAAGTGGGAGGTGTACAGACATTCATGGTCCACTGAGTATGAATCATACTGACATTTTGTTTTTATAATTTCGTGCCGACATCAGGTCAAAACAGCCTATTCTGTAAAATATCTCACAAAATGGAACAATCAGTGACTTTTTGTACATTCATGGTACAATTATGACGATAATTACATAACTGATCCCTTTACTGATTATCAGGTCAACATTTAATACTGTGCCCTAAAAACGAAACCAATCATCTCAATTGTCCCCTGGTGGCTGGCTGCAGTATAGGTTATCCATGTTATGAATAGGGCATGAAGAATAAAGTAAAAGTACACGTTAGACGATGTTTTCTCACGGATTGTTTCTGTCATTTGAAGGGAGTTCTTGTCGCGCTGGTTTGTTCATGTTTATTTTTTCGGTAAGTCTGGTTTTATTTGGGTATTTAATGCTTTGTATCAGCGGGACCTCGATACTGCGCAGACTTTGGCAACAAACACTCAACATGGCAGTGCTCGTATCCCAAATATTTCATCTTCATTTCTGGATCGTGAGAAGAAGTGAAGTGCTAATAGTTGCAGGCTATAACACAAAGTAAAAGGAGCATTTTCAATTATCGGTACTTCGGCAGAGTAACACTGATAAAAGAAAAAAGCCTTTCCATCATGTTGCCAACTACATGCACCCTTTTGTGCTGTAAAATCACATCCTTATTAATAACCACAATTTTTCATCCATGATATCTCTGCTCAACTTTTCCATTCACTAAAGCAACATCCTAAACACGTGCCTGGGTTGGTGTTAAAGAAACTGTCCGTGAGTTAGAGCAACAAAAATAAAAGCTTTTGATGTATTTTTTTTTTTTTTTTTTACAGCTTCAATTGATGAAGTCCTCTAACTGACCAGTGATGAAGAAAAATCAGATGGCATCTCAAAGCCAAATGACGGCAATGGATCAGATAGATACAATCACCAATTTATAAGGCGAGAGATTGGTCACAGCAGGAAAATCGCCCGTTTCGTCATTGATTCCGCAGCGCCCAATAATGGCACAGAATCCATCACTGACTGCTGGAGAATATGTTCTCACTGTTCTCTTTTAAAAGCATCTGCGCTTGTTCATTACAGTCAGAATGAATGTCCATATTTGGCCATTATCATCGGGAAAGAGAAGCAGGGGGTGTCAGGCGGTGCGGTGCAGGTGTGGTGGGGAAAAAAAAGAGGCTGTTATAAGTTAAAATGAGGGAGTGAAAAAATATTCTTCTCCAGCTAACAACTGTCAGCTGGACAGCTGTCTCGGACAGCTGTCTAAACGGGCAAGAGGAGGAATACTACTAGAAAAACAGAGTGTAGTTGACAAGAGGTGTAATTATGAAAAACTTAGAATCCAATTATATTTGTTGAAGCATCAATTATGTCTTTATCTTCCTTGATGTATTCACTAGTTAAATTTCAAAGGGTAAATTGCTGCATGTTGTTTTTTGCATTACTTATTGACTACCAGTAAATCTACTTTTCTTTCTTTCTGAGACATGCATCTGTAAAGCTGTTATCAAAATGACACATGGAAATGTAAAGCAGTCACATTATAGCATTAAAATTGGTGCAGTGCTGTCACTTCTGGCAACCACACATGGTCATTATTGCTTACTTGCAGGTACACCTTTCACTCAGTCCTCAACTCTCATGCCACCCCTTCTCTGCCATCTGCCACCTCAGCCCTTAACTCCCTCTCTATACATTCAGATCTTCAATAAAATGCATTATTAAGTATATCTTTCCCATTTTACCTCCTCCTCTGTCCCACTCTCCTCGTCTCTCCCTCTCTGGAGCGCTCCGGTGCAGTCTAATTAGAGCCTCCGGTATAGGATGTCATTATCTCTCTGCTGTTTCTGGCACACTGGGTACAGTGCAGCACTGTATCAGCATCGGGAAATGAAAGTCTTGCCCTGCATGCATGCACACACAGTGATGGAGAGATGGTGGTGGTGGTGGTGGTGGGGGGGGGGGTATCATGTGCATCTCCTTCACTGCAGTAACATGTGAGCATAAATGTCTTAGACAGAGAGAAGAAGTGAGGAGCCAGAGGAGACAAAGGGAGATTCTGTAAGTTTTATATATTTTACGTGTAACTGGGTGTGAGCGGTGGTGACGGGGGTATGAGAGCTCCGGGCCTCTGTGTAATAGATAAAAAATATATTTGCTGCCTTGTCCATCAGTGTCAATGACTGTCAGCCTTTGCCCCATGACTCGCCTTGTGAGACGCTCCTGCAAGGCGAAATATGACACTGATTCAGACCAGGTAAAATACATCATCACCCTGCTGGGCTCAGTCACTCTTTTGCTCTTTCATGCACACACCTGGCCTCGGCTTCACATGTGGATTCATGAATGTGCCACAAAACTGACTTATGGACCCCTTTGGCACAGAGGCATCAATGTATTGGCTGACTTGTGCACTTTACTTCTACTGGGCTCAGACAGCAGGAGTTTCAGGCTGATTTAATCCTCATCAGAGGAGGAATTTGGTCTGGAACCTTGGTCGGTACTGATGTTCGGCCCAGTTTGACGGGTTACAGAACCATTCTTAAACCACCTTTAACTGCCTGCAGAATCATCTGGGCCACCCCGATAATCATCAAACATGTTTGATATTTAGAATTTAAAATCAGGATGATTATGTCAATATTTTCTAAGCGGAACCACTTCAGCCAATGAGAGAGACAATAGTGAGGCTACACTTTTTGATGCTTGAGTATCAGGCTTCAACCCAACTGAACAGCTAATGCTACACAAATTGAGGGGCATTAAAATTGTGTCGCCCTGTCCAAAGTCAGCCTTGTTGCTCGGCGACAGCAGGAAGTGACGGACAAGCTGGTGACACATCTGCACAATCCTCTGAAGCTGACAGAGTGCTACGGGCTAATGTGCTTCTGGTGACAGATATTATAACATTGAAAGATAAAATCTTACAAGAAGACCAGATAAAACCCAGGTTCACCAAGACTTTCAGAACATATTCTTAGTGTGTAATATTTTCTAATCTTGTATTGTGGGTGTGTTTACATTTATAGTGAAGAATATCTGTGAAATCTCTCCTTATGTTTGGAATGCAACTTGATTTCAAAATTGTTGTGAGCCCAGCCTCAAAGGGACTGGGGAATCCGTGCAGCATTTTTGGGGTCAATAATTTAAGTGGATATTACCTGTTCAATGTTACACCTATTGTGCCGCTCCACATGATCGCTAATGATAATGGTTGTAGGTGAGTGATGCAGTCGTACAGTTCCTGTGGCCTTGGAGCTTAAAGCAGCTGAATCTAAAGGACATTTCTGAATAATAAAAGGTGAAATAGACCTTTTATTCCAAGGGCTTCAGCAGGAAATATGCAACCCAAGAATATTCCAGATAAGAGCAACTGCCATGGCCATGAATCACAGTCCCTCCAACATTATCAGCCGGTCATATCATAAACCAGTGTGTGTGTGTGTGTACACTAAAAGAGCGTGCAGCACAATATGAAAAACCAGCATGAAAACGTACTGAGAACCTAATAAATGTTTTCATCTGGGACAGAACACAGTTCAACAGCTTTACTAATGTGTAATGTATGAGTTTAAAAAGATCTCCGTGGTGGCCCCAAACAGGAAAGGATAACATCTTGTAGAATTAACAGGCGCTGAATTAGTGAAACAAATAGTGACACGGTTAAGCTGCACAGCTTTATCTCATACTTGGGGGTAATGGCAAAATGCATACAGTTTGGTGAAGCTGAACTCAGTACGCAGAGCCCTGAACTGGAGAATCCGTTGTCGTGACTGCGCCCATTGACGTGAACATGCTGTTGTTGTGATTGTCAGTTTATCCATTTTATATATAAATATTGAACATCTCACATGTCCAAAACACACCAAATTTTAGGTTGTGAACAATACACATGCTAAATGTGAAAGTAAGGATGAATGGTTATTGAGATATGCTTTCCAAAAACATGGGGGCTACTTCCTTCAGAGGACCATGGGCAAATTGAAATGAGACGGTCTGACTGTCAGACCACAGAGGATTCCATGACCAGCTTGTTCTGTGCTTACTGCTGGCACCCCTTGGTTTTTTAATATGTACCGTTAGCTGTTTGGTTGAATTGAAGCCTGATACTCAAACATCGGACATCTTGTCCCTTGCCTTGTCTGAGAAGGATCCAGTCATTGAAGCTTTCATTTCTCTGGGATGGAAGAAGCATTCGTCGGCTACATTTGTCAGAGCCTTCGAAATGGGACAGCCTAGTCGTGCCGAAATGAAGCAATCGGCCTTCAAATGCAGCTTCTAAATGATGCAGCCCTTGAAACGAGACACGTCTACAGATTTCTGGAGATATTCACACATATGCTAAAAATATAGTAACAGGTCTATTATACCTCCCCATTTACAGTCACAGTATCATAAATGTGGCCAAATCTTTTAAATCCTCAGTTAACAGCTTCATAATACTTCCTGTCCTTGAAAGAATTCTTTCAAGGTAGAAGTCAAAGTAAAAATGTGGTCTTATTTTGTTCAATTAAATGCACCCAGAAGAGGGCTAACAGCATTTAACGGCTGGATTTACTGCAGCCAAGTACTGGACTGTGTGTGCACGTATATGATGGAGTCGTACAGTATAGACTCATGGAAAGTTATGGCATTTATAAAGTTGCCTTTTCCTGCTCTGCTGCTCTACCCTTGGGAGACTTTTAATCCTGCAGAGTTAATGCAGCACAGGTACTTCTGGTAGATAAGGAAGAGTGTCTAATATGTATAAGATGTAGGGTAGGTGTGTGTGTGTGTGTGGGTGCTGGTGTGGGTGTGTGCGTGTGTGTGTATGTGTGTGCATGCATGTCTGTATTTGTATATGCATACAGGGCAGCATGGTGAACACTGGCAGAGAAAACAAATACGGGCGGTTGAAGGCCTTAGGGTCAAACTGCATGGCAACACTATTTCATCAGTGCAGCCTCCCTCTCTGCCTGGTCTACAACCACTCCCTCTCCTCTCTCTCTCCCTCTATCTCTCTCCTCCTTCCATCCCTCCATTCCTCTTGGCAACAGCTTGCTGATTAAAAAAATGGACCTGACTCCAAATAAACCCTTCTGCCTATCTGTCTGACCCTAGCAGGGGAACAAGTCTCCCCACAGCCACGAAGGCTCACATTGGGATCCTGCTGACAGCTACAGACAAACCCACATGCAATATCAAAGCTTCCTGATGCAACCCGTGATCTCACCGCATGTGTGGATGGATGCAGGACGGAAACCACAAATTAATGAGGAAAAAAAACACCCATCCTCCATATAAGCTGAAGAGACGCACAGGGTTTGTCAAACAAACAAAAGTCTTGCAGCATTTGTGTTCCTTGTTGATTTGCTTTCTGACGTAACTGCTGTCATCAACCCAGCTTGATGGGAGCACACAATTTCATTTTGTTTTATTTTATTTGACATTTCAACGTCTGCCTTTAAATCAAATACACAGTCGGATGCGAGCGGAGCTTATGTCACTAACCTTGGAGCGTGGCGGAGCACGGATGTACCATTTGCAGTCGACGGCCTCGGCAGCGCCAGCCTTCCCGTCTCTGGTGATCTGATGAGACTCAACGATACCCTCTGGACCAACCATGTCATACTGACAGGCTGAAACAAACACAGATGCAGAAACACACACTGTCTAACAAATATGACACACACACAATATACTGTATGTATAACTGGAGGAAACAGTGTACAGCCTTTTTTGAGATGAAAAGTGTGCTGAGAAAGAGAGTGAATGTAGAAGACAAAGAGAAAGGAAGAAACAGAGACAGAAAGAGAGAGAGAGAAGGAGTATACCTACAGGGCAGAGGTGGAGGAACTCCCAAGTCTGCAAAGTCCGGATCTGAGGAGAGAGGAGAGGAGGGGTTATTCATTTTTAATACATGATTACAAAATCCGGATCTTCCACAGCGACAAAAACAACCAGGTGTAACATCGTGCTGAGGAACTTCCCACAAAGAGCTGCTCTTCCTCCTGAAGTATTTTGGGAACCTTGAATACCTTGCTACTGTCTCCTCTCTGGTGTCGCCCAAACATAAGCTGTTGCACAAACCATCTGTCATGCCCACAAGTCGAAAACTTGCTCACAGGACACAGGCTCTTGAGAGTGAGATTCTTTGTTTCAGGCTTGTGACGGATGATTGTTAAACTTTGTGAAGACTGCAGATTTCCCCAAATTCTCCCTATTAGTGTAAAAGCGGGTTTTTTTCAAACTAAAACACAGAATAGTTCTTTTGCTATTTGTAAAACTAATTAAGAGAATGAGAATCCGCACTCCACTAAAAACATATAAAATGACCCTCATTAGAGCCACAGTGGAGTCGACCAAATTTAATGGCAATTAAGACTTTACACGCAAATTTGGAGGACCAAGGTCAGGCTTTAATACTGCAGATGTTCTCTTGGGGTTTGATTCCACGTGGTAATCAGTAAAATTTTCAGCTGCGTGTCAGAGCAACTTTGACAGTGATATGGTTTAATTGGGGTCAGTAGATTGAAGCCATATTTTGAGGACCCAGAAGCTGTAAAAATCACTGGTATGAATCAAAACCGTGTAAACCAGCTGAACACAGTTGTGGAGGAATCTTAAATCAAAGATGAAGGCATGAGTCCTGACAGTAAAATCAATGTCACGATGACTTGCTGATTAACAGTACTCATGATACTCTTAAGTCACATTTAGAATACAAAATGGCAATATCAGATTTCGATAGCTTGCCAGGGGTGGCACGCCCCCCCCCCCCAAAAAAAAATCACGTGGTCATTTTTCTATCACTCATAGGTATGTCATGTCAATGATTTTACCGTGTGGGTCGATTAATGTTGGAGTTGACGCACTACTTCTAGTTTGTGAGCTAGAGATGGGGAGGGGGGCGTTGGTAGGTTGACCTCAGGTGTTTCCACTAAAAACCCCCAAGAGAATCACATGCATGTAAGGACGGCAAGAAAGGAAAGGTTTTAGATGGAAGGTTGTGCAATTTAGTGTGCGTTTCTCAAAATCACCACTGCAATAATTGTTTTGGACGGCCACATGGGAGTAAGTACTCACCCAATAAGTTACATCTTTGTTCTGTTTTACAGCATCAGAACAAACAGAACTCAAGCTTAACAGAGATTAATGAAAGAACAAAAACATCAAAACGTCCTTTACAAAGGTTTCAGAGACTTTTAGTAGACGGCTGGGGACTATGGATCTAATCCTCAACCAAACACAAAAAAATAAAGTCTAACAAAGCGGAGCTAAGTTCGCGTGTGAATAGGATAAGGGGAGAGTGTAAAGTTTTGAAAGTCAGCTTGAAGCAAGAAAGTCTTACAGCAGTCGTTCTGTATAATATTGCAATAAATTACATCAACAAGCGCGGCCTGTCTGAGGTGTGTTTCCTCTGCTCGCTTGTGCAGCATCACAGTCTCCTCTTACATCTCCAGAGATTCACTATCACTCCAAAGACGACAGAAAATTACTCTTGAACTATCTAAGCTGCTCTTTCACGTCACCATTTACGTACATGTGCTTCGTAGGGACGCTTGTGCGTGTCTGAGCTCCAGCTAAATTTAAAAACCAACTTTGAAACGGAGGAAGATGCAATAAGAATTCACCTCAACAGAGACAAGGAAATTGTTTTATTGTTATGAGCACTGACATACTTATCAAAAACTTACTTCAAATATTTCAGCCACATTTTTCAACACGACAATAGGAAAGAAAAAAATGAAAACCAACTAAGTCGTCACAGGATAATTGTACTTTGACTAATTTCTGTCCATTATAATAGCATCACATGTCACCTTGTCACTAATGCTATGACGAACAGTATTGTCTTTGAAATAATAAAAACTCCATTTGGCTTCCATGTGACTCCAACCTACAGCCACAGAGCGGTTGTGCTTTCAAAGATATGCCATTATCAAGAGCTACGGGGATGAATTCATTGGAGGACAGACCCTGAGGAAATAGGAAACACAGAAAAGGCCTTGCATTAAATCTGATTGTTCCTCACCAAATCGAGACATGGCTACCGCTGACTGAGCTCAGTGTGGAAAATGAGCTCTGATTGCACAGCGTGAACCCCTTGCCTATATGTCACTGTTTTTCTTTTCTTTTTTTCTGTGTGTATGCCCTAATTCTCCCGTCTAGACACGAGTCAGAGCTTCGCTGTGCGCGCAATGGACATGAGGGGAAAATCCCATGTACCTGGCTATGCTGTGTGAACATCAGATAAAGAAAAAAAAGATGAATGAAACGGTGGTTGAGGGGGATGAGGGAGGAAGGAGTATTCAGTGTGTTTGATGATGACATTCTCTGGATAAAATCCTATAATCAGAGCAGAAAGATTCTTGGCCTGATTTCAGTTGTGTTGTCGTGGGGCTTCAGAGGAGATGAACCTCCGCGTACAGTGAAGAGAAAACTACCTGTGACAAATCGAGCCGGGTTGCAGAAAAACCCCTCTATCCTCAGTGCTGTCAACACCAAGCAGTTCGCAATAAAACATTCATGTGAACTCAGAAACAGCGTAGACGTGCTTATAGTCGACTCAAGAGCTTCTCCAGAGGCTTTTGCTACGTTTCCCTCCTGATTCACTGTTGCTTTCAACTAAGACCCAAATGATCCAATCGATAAAGTGCTAAATGTCATCTCATTTATAAAAGCAAGTGGCTCCTCCGGTCTTTTTGGAAAGTAATGCATTGTTCAAACAAATTTACCCTCTCGGCCTCTCTAAACCTTTATTAAACGGTCCTGATGAGAGCAAAAAAACTACAACAAATGCTCAAACAAGCAAGCCGAGCCAGTAGTTGGAGATAAAGTCTACATAGGCGATCGGTCAAGTACCAGCAACGACAACTGTGAGCATGCTCAGTGCAGTCAAGGAATGCTGGTAATGGTGCAGTGATGCTAAATTTAACAGCAGCAAAGTGCACAAACCAATTCTGCTCCTCAGATCCTCTGCTTTCGTACCGGTTAGCTGTTACAAAGCGCCGGACTGAAACCTTTAGTTTCTGTGCTCCGAGCTGCTGGAACACTCAGAGCAGCCGGAAGTGTTGAAATCTTTAAACACAACTATTGTGTTTTTATCTGCCACTGTTTTTATCCAATATCATGGACTATTATTTCTTCTATTTATTGTACTGTTTAATTTTTTTTAATTGTTATTATGGCTGATCTTTTTTTAAATCTGCAAATTGTGTTGGTATAGGCTCGTCAGTCTGTTGTGCTTTAGAAAATACAGTGTGATTGATTGATCTGTCCAAAGCTTAGTTGAACATTAAGATTGTTTTTGTTTAATCTTTGGGCAGAACCCGGCTTGCTTCTCACACATCTTTGCATTTCGTATTTGATCCATGTGTTTGAATGTTGCCTTTGTCGGGATGTTAACGTGTGTGTCATGGGCAGGTAGGCAGGGGGGAAGCAGTCAGGCACAAGGGATGAGAAAATCCAAGTGGAAGACACTTAATGAAACAGTGACCTTCAGGTTATCTGTGCTGGTTGCATCAGAGATTTATTATTTGGCTTTGGCATCTTTTAACCCATCTCACTTACAAGGCCAAGCAACCTCCGAGAAATAGATGCACGTATCTCTGCAGGCACACACGTACAAACACACACACACACCTTTTCATAAAGGCTATTATTAACATTGCAACAAAGGTCCCACTAAGAGGCTGCTCTGCCTGTAAATGCCTCTTGTGCGACCCTTGACCTTTTTAGTCTCGGGCTCCTGAATTTCAATCAGGCAGACTCCATCCCATCTGCCATCAATCACCCTCCTCTCCCTCTATGCCCTCCTTGATTAATCGATTCAATCAATTACATGGATTGATAAAATGATTGATGAACTGTATAAAGTGCATATACTCTTTCCACAGCAGGTGATTTCACCCTGTTATGAAGCCGGGTGCATCAGTCCAGTCACACCGCGTCATCTTTGATAACAGAGTCACGATTCAAAAGGATCCACTCCACTGAATAACAACGATCACGCAAAGTACCCACCACAAACGTAAACACGTATAGAAATGTAACCACTGCTGTATGTGCTGATGTGGAATGTGTGTGTCCTGTGTTGTCATTGTGTACTGCAGCTTCTTTGTGGTGCCTGCGTGCCTTCTCTCCTTTGCATTGTGTACTTTGCCAGAGCGAGTTGAATTCAGAGCACATCCACACATGGCCACACCCTCTCCTCTCTTCATAAAGCCCTACTAAGAGTGTAATCTTCTGGGGCTTACTGTATTTACCCTGCATGTGCAACATAGAAAATGCTCGCTGTAAAGTAAGAGACAGACTTTAAGCTCCCCACCATCAGCGGTGTTCATGCACATATGGAGCCGCTTGAGGAGCATCATTCTCCAAAACATAATCCTGATACAAAAGTGGAGAAAACTATGTACGCTCACACAAATATAGATTATCTATACACTTTAATATTGAAGCATTGAGATTCACAGCGAGAGAATACAATTCAGACAAGTTTGGTGAAAATGTCCAGAGAAGCAAACACAAGCAGCTTTTAAGTGCCGGCTCAAATTTGACTCATCACACTGCTTCAAAAACTCGTTCATAAAACCAGCGGTGGTGATTCAGTTTGGCAGACAGACACAAAAATAATCATAACGAATAAATAGTAAAAAAAACCAAGATCAGATGATAAGTAAGAGCTAATTAGCTTGGTTTAGTTGTGTTGCTGGAAATGTATTGAGGACACATGCACACACTGTAACCTGCTGTAATAACTGCACCGTCACATTCAGACCTGGTATTAACATTCAGGTTATCTGATCACCAGTGGAAACCTCTGAGTAGAGGTGTCAACACCCCAAAAATTGAGGATGAAAACATATTTCCATCAT